CTATAATGTTTAATTATATATACATGTTATAACAATAACTCTAATCGAAATAAAGTCAATAAAAAAAACAATAAAAAAAACGCCGGGTTTGATATATATATATATATATATATATATATATATATATATATATATATATATATATATATATATATATATATATATATTTATATATAGTGAGCTACCAACGAAAAATAAATAAGTTTTTTGATGAGTTTGACTTTTTGTTATAATAGACATATCAATAGTATTTTTTAATTACTACAGAGATATTCACCTTGGCAGAGAGTCATTACTATGTTGGTCTATATAAAAGTTTAAAATATTATTTCATGAAATTATATGAAGACATATTTTCTCAAATCATATTTGCAAGATACAAAATGAACAAATATAGTTCACTTTTGTTTAAATCTCTTTCATTCACAGCATATATGTAAATATGTAGTGTGAGCTGCAACTAAGGAGTGGAAGTTCATTTGGTGGGTGAGTGGTGTGAATTTTATTATGTGGGAGGGCTCAATAATGTTCGTAGGGCTACTTTTTTTCTTCTTTTTGAATGAATTCATGTAATGTAAGAAGAAGACACAGGGAGGGCTGTGTGAAAAAGACGAACACAATAAAATAATGGGAGGACAGCTGCGTCAATGGAGTGAAGGAGAGGGGGGGGGGGGCTCTTATTTATCATTATCGTCAATTGCCTCTTATTCTGGAGGACTTGCTAACTCATTTTCTGTATATATAAAATATATACTCTTGACGCCTTTACTTTATGAACTGACAATGATAATTTAAGCTCATATACAGAAAGTCATTTTTAATCTAAAAACTTGCAATACTTTTCATATATATATATAGCATATTTGGTTTTTTGTAATTGTAGTTTGTATAAATATTATATAATATATATATATATATATATATATATATATATATATATATATATATATATAATATATATATATATATATATATATATATATATGATAGATATATCTGAATAACATTCAAACATTTAATTATTTCTTCTAACCTACTATCAATGTGGATCTTACAAATATTTAATTTTTTTTGCTAAAATCTAACATTTGGCAATGTTGAAAAACTGCTTAAAAGAAAAATTGTAACATTTCTTGTTATATTATTTTTCAGTTAAAATTATAATGGATTTTATTCATACAAATTAATAACATTCTGAGTATATATTGTATAAGCTATTAATGTTATTGTACCATACTAACTATTTAAAATATCAATTTTTACCTTGAAATCCTCCAAAATCTGGAAAGTCATATGGAGAATACTTTCTATGGTTTGAAATTTGTTTGAATAATATATTTCATTTTTGAGAAAATTCTCCGTTAAGCTCGGACCTAAGTCAAAATATAGGCTATTATCTTATCTACATATTATAATTTTTATCATATATTTTTTTTAGTTATTGTGATTTTTATAATTTTTTTCATATTAAGAGATATTAAACATAATTTAATATATAAATAAACAATGCAATTAAAATTAGTTCCCTGAATATTCAGCAATATCAAAACAATACTGAATTGATAAAAGGACGGATAAAAATATTAAATTTTAAAATATGTGAGATTGCATAAAAAATCATATCATTAATGATATTATCATTATAGAGAACTTATTACACGACGTTGTAAGCACAAAGCGTTCAATAGTTTAATGCAACCTTATGTAGACTCTAAGACATCATAAATGTTGTCACAATGGTCAATTAGAATCTACTTGAGGTCACCATGGCCATTAAAAGCTACGAGATCCGAAAGAGTAACGAGTCTAATATTATAAACTAAAAAAAATGATTTGGCATTGTTCGACAGGTATTATTTCCTGAAATTGATGTACCACCCTGTACCACATTGAGATATCACTCTATCCGAGTACCGACGAATACAAAAAGAACTTTTAGTTCTAGCTGTATTATACTATGAATACAATATTTTCATTCAACTTCCAATGAAAAAATATTTAGTACTTCAATTAAAAATTTAATAGCCCAATGAAACACGGCGGCAACCCTTTTAGATACAGTTCCATTGTTATTAAAGCTTGTGCATAAACAGTTTGATATGTAATTTATAGTTACTCTGGTATCATACCCACCCTTTCCTTTTACTTCCTAGAGTTTCTATCTAACTACTCCTACATCAGGATATGTCAGAGGCGGTCCTGGTTACTTTTACGCCCTGGGCAAATACTCCATTGGCGCTCCCCTCCCATCAGTGTTACAAATAACACTAATTACAACATCTTAACAAGAAATAATGTAATATAATGATAATAAATAAAATAATATAGAAAATAACATAATTTAAACACAATACAACTTATTTTGGAAGCAGCAGTTCCATGGTTGCAGAACGGGGCACTGCGTATTGCTTATGTGCCCCCTGCGTGCTCAGCGTCCACCTTAACCGACCTGCTATTGAGCGGAGTTTTTTACTTTGAAAAGTTCCGGATGTTTTATTTTGAAGCCGCATCCACATCGAGCTGTCGCTCGAGCTGCGCTGAGCTCCAGTGTGGCGTCCGGCAGAGATAGAGATTGGGATGTTATCCACAGTGTGTGGAAACTGGCGATTTTTTTTTGCGCCCCAAATAGATTGCGCCTGGGCAGTCGCTCATATTGCCCATAGCAAAAAACCGGCCCTGGGATATGTAAGCTATATTTTTTTACGCTATTTGTATGCCATATTGAAGTGGATTTGTGGGGATTTATGTAATCAAGTGATGTGGAGGGCATGACACTTTCCTGGTGTCTGAAGTAACGGTATAGAAAAAAACGTCTTAGGCAAAACCTTTTAGGAAAAGATGTCTTATGGAAAAGTGATCCATAATGGCATGCAGAAAGAGGTCAAGCAAGAATCTAAGTGAAATTATACACCTGTATTTTGTCCTAACTTTTTAAATGATATACATAAATTGTTTTTTTTTCATTTTGAGAATATTCTATTTATTAACACTTGCCCGCTATGGATTTGACAGTTTTTTCATATTTTTTTATTAGACATTTTTTTGTTGTTCCTTATATTAATAGCTATAGAAGAATAATGCATAATTTTTCTACGTTTTTATAGCTTTTTGTATATGTCATAATTTTCTATGTGCTCGATTTATAAATGGAGCAGTTAATCGAGTACAATATTTTTAAAGTATATTTTAGCAATTTTTTTTTGGAACATAAATAATTAAAAAAATGGGGATAAGGGGTTGATCTATGGTGTATCGTTCCGTTCATTTTAAAGTTATAACGCCAGAAAGATTTAATAAAAACACATGAAAAATAAGCCAACACAAAAATTATTCATTCGAATTATCACATAAAATCAGTAAAAAATTATAAAATTTCTGCCTTAGTTTTTTAGAGCTTCCTTGATGGAAGGAACTGTAGAACCATTCAGGGGATCCGATTCTTTGAATTCATAATGATGGAATTAGATAACGAGCCCAATTAGCAATGATAATCCCTCTAAAATCCCTCTGGACTGCTAGGTGGGGGTACATTGTAAGTCTATTTTAAAACAGTGCATTGATATTTGAGTCCAAAGCCTATGTTTCCGTACAACTCCTTTCCTGGTTCTTGATACTCCGAAACGTACACAAACCTATGTTTAATTTGTGTGTCCATTTTTTAGACCGTTTATATGAAATAGTTTGTAAGAAACTAAATATAATTCTGAACAAACATTCCATAAACAAAAAGAAAACACTATAGGGTTAAACATAGAGATATAAATATATAGAGAGCTGATTCCTTCAATAGTAGAGAAACAGCGTTCTATTGTTTCTGTGTGTACTATAAACAAAGTAATTGATACTACGTCACCGTAAGCGATCATAGAGATAGAATCATATAAACATAACACAATGACGTATTTCTCTTCCCTCCAATAGCAGAGAAACATCGTTCAGCTATATTCTTGACGCAATGACGTATTTCTCTGACGAGTCCAATAAGCTCTCTATATCTTTATATCTCTATGGGTTCAAATGATTATGATTAGAAGAGTAAGTTTGGGAGTATCACAAAAGGAAATCCTATTTTCTCTGGTCCAAGTGTGTTAAAGCACACACACAAATCCTATATTAGTCTGATTCTCCAAAGGGGGACGACGGCAGTTGCCTCATTCAGTTTCTTATAGATATTTATTGTATTTTCGTTATTATTCTGTCCCTCCTAACGCAAGTTTTCTCACTTCAAATTATGATCTTTGTTTTCTCTGAAGGTTCTACTACACCAACAAAGGATTTTATTTTTCCTTCCCTCCCATAATAAGTGGGTGTGTGTCTGTGTTCGTTTTTGATCAATTTACAACATTTTAGCAAAGGGGGGTTTAAAAAACCTTTCGGTTATATTTCTTGTAGTAGGAATTAGAGATAAAAGTATATGTAGAGTGTTATTAGTAATTAATACAAATTATATAGTTGACATGTTCATACTGACAATGAACACATGTCAAACCCTCAATTAAAAGTCTTAAATCATATGGACTTTATTTCATTTTTTACTACAAAGGATGTCAAATATCAACAATTTGATGATCATTTTTATAAGCAAGATATTTCATATTTGGATCCTTTCAAATATAAAAATATATTTTAATTTTCTCTCCTGCTTTAGTTGTATTTGGTAAGTTCTTTTATATTTGTATCTCTATGTGAAGCACATGTAGTGTTATATATATATCAGGAAATGACCTGGACACTTTTTTTCGCCGGGACCCGGACTGGGCCAAAACTGGGCCGGGACTTCAGTTTATTTTCATTCTTTCGTCATTCTGAAAGTGACGACGTTTTTTTAGAAAACATTTTCCAAAAAAAGTGACCACGTTTTTTTTTAAACATTTTTTTTAATTCTAAAATTATTTTCTAAAAAAACGTCATCACTTACAGCATGACGAATAAAATATGTATATACTTTTAAAATATATTATACAAATAAATATTTTGTTATTCAACACTACAATACAATTGGGGGTGTAACTCAGTGGTAGAGTGTCCGCTTCGCATGCGGAAAGCCACGGGTTCGACCCGTCACCTCCACAATTTTTATTTTGAAGATGATATTATTTTCTTATAATTTCTTTTAATCCAAGCTGCGCAATGTCAAATTAATTGGTAGGCTCTATAAATATATATACTTATATATTATATTTAGTTTAATACATTGTGGTAGTAACGAAAAGCCAAGTTAACACCCCTTCAGGAAACGACCGGGTACCCGGCTGTTTTTTGAGCGTCCCGACCTGGCCCGGTGTCCCGGTTTTTTAATATACGGGCCGGGACATCAATTTTCTTTTATTAGTCATTCATATTTTTTTAAAGAAAATAATTACCCAAAAAAGTGAGGACGTTTTTTATAAAGGAATTCTCGAAATATTCTTTTTCAAAAAATACGACATCACTTTGAGAAATATTTGTTTTGGAGATTCTTTTCTAAATAAAACGTCTTCACTTTTTTGGAGATTATTTTCTAAAAAAACGTCGTCACTTTCATTTTAATGCTATAATGCTTATTTATATCCTATCGGATGCAATTCTACCGAATCATATAGGCAACAAAAAAAACGTTGTCACTTCAGAATGTCGAAGGAGTGGAAATATATATTAAGTCCCGGCCCAGTTTTGGCCCGGCCCAGCTTGAAAAATTTAAGTCCGGCCCGGGTCCCGGCGAAAAAAGGTGTCCCGGTCGCTTCCCTACATATATATACATATATATATCATTATTGACTAAATAAGTAACTCCTCAGTATCCAAAATGGAAAGATTGGTGATCTTTTGTAATCATATCTGCCGAGTAATGTGTCATAGCTCAGTAGTTAAGACATTGTCAAAAAAATGAATGCCAACAAAAAAACTCTATAGATGAGCTTTCGAGAACTCATCCATATTGTTATCTCTGCTTATTTATACCACTAAAACCAATAAGAGGCTTCTCTTTTTTTCTCTTTGGTTGTTCACATCTCAACGACCATAATTCCTATCTTTCACCCCTCCTAACCAGCCAGCCAGGCTTTACTTTTCACAACAGTAGCATCTGAGAAGGTTAACCGCAGGTGTGGTCCATCTCCTCTTTTTCCATCCTTTGGAAGGCGTTGCCTTCCATTCTACAACATTCCGGTATAGTAATAGAACAAGAGGAAGAGAGAGAGAGGAAGATAATAATCGAAGGGCTTCTTTTAGGGAAATAAAATAAATAAATTAGAGGGGAAGTATCAATTTGGTATTTTTCCTGCAAACATATAATCAAAATTATCACTCTGGAACTTTATGATATAACTTGATTGATAAGAATGCTTAGTTCAATTAACTTGGGTTTTTTTATTCAACAGTCCATAAAATAATATACAAGCACAATAAGTAAATGTATATAAAATGATCTTAATGCGTAAAAAAACATATTTAAGCATTTTAGTTTAATATTTTAACATCACATAAGAACAACTTGCCATAATAAAAACATATATATATATTCTATTTAAAAACTTTAAATTTACGTAAAAAAAAAGTAAATTAAATTTCCAAATGAGAAGGAAAAACGCGGGGAAGTAACGCATTTCGTTTGCTTCCAAACTCCACTTTCCATGGATGACAAGGATCTTGAGGTGCGACGCCGCGTATCTAGCCGCCGCTAGGATGATTGTCCTTACCTCCAACGGACTGATAGGAGAATGAGATGATAACCTCTTAGCTATAAGAGCTTTGGCATTTAAAAGAGTACTATTATTCTATAGATTTTGCAGAGGACGATCTGCCAAGACCGAATAGGACGATAGCTTTGCAAATGTTATTTGCATCTGGAGTCTGAAGGCCTCTAACATTCAAACTGATTACAGTCGGCCCTCGCTACTTCGCCCCTCGACATCTCACAGTTCTTTTACTACGCGACGAAGGCTTGGCTCCCGTTTTTTCGGCGGCAGGTTTAAACGTCGGGTGATGTCAAATCTCTCTAAATTCAATATATATCAACATCGCGACCCTCATATATATCGCGGTGGTCGTGTAGTGGATCCGGGCCGTCGCGACTTTGCGAAGGACGACTGTACTTGTTTTTTTGTAGAATGCTTAGGGTACTAATTTCAGGTGACATACTTGATTACAACTAAAATAAGTTCATCCCCAAATCATAGGACCGATAAAGCCATGTTTGTTTTAGATTATAAACAACAAAATAATGTTGCGAATCGCTAACCATTCTGTAATCTTCACTTGTCCCAAAGAATGCTGCCTATATCATTTTTTGTGCTGTTATTATTTTAAGAAGAAAACTTTCCGTCTCAACAAGAAGTGATAAAACGTCTCCTCACTCTTCACGCAAAAACGACATTCACGGATGAGAGACTTACTGTCAAGAGGACTGGGGAAATATTTTAACCTATGATCTGTTATTGTTATATGTGTATGGAGTAAAAGACACTCACAATTAAATAATAATTGTAAAGTGGCGGATCACTTATAAGAAGCTACCTATAGGGCATGATGACAACGGTGAAACATTATTTTATTTTCTATATCTCACTTTTGTCATTAAATGTATTTTTAAAAAAATCTGAATTATTATTGTTAATTGAAATACTGATATATAAAACTTGAGCTTAACAATCTATATTATGAATAAAAAAACTTAAATCAGTGGATCCCTGAATCTTTGAAAAATATATATCTTTGCAAAAGTACATTCACATTAAAACTTATATTTTCTCATAATCCGCTCATCAGCCAATAAAGTCCTTGAGATTCAAAACTCTATTTGATTATTCAATCATTTTCAAACTTAATTTAATTCATACTGAGTTATACAGAAGTATCATTTATAATTACCAAAAAAATACTGCATTTTGGACACAAAATGGCATTTTTTAAATTCTAATATGATATATAAATAGCGTATAATTCTTCTGGATCAAAAAATAAAAAAATACATAAGAAAATACAATAATAATTGTGAGTATATGTTCAGACAATACAATTATTAACAAAATAAAAAACTCCAAGAATTCACTCAGGCTTAATACTCAAGACAGCAATATACTTCATATCCAAACAGCGTTTATGTATATAAAATGGGTAATCTTAAGAAATAATCATTCCCTTTATGTACTTAACAGTTTTTCCAATGTTTTTACTTTTTGAGTTTTTTTTAGAAAACCACAATTACTGTATACCGTAAACATACATAAATACATATAACATGTACAAAGACATAATAATAATAGTACAATACATGCCTAACTAAAGAACGCGAACCACACAAAGGGGTATTCCTACAACAGTACATTCGTTTAGTTTATAGTATGTTTTTCTTCCATATTTTACAGTTTCCCTTGTTTACCTTTCATTGTATTTGGCTGTCATTTCTGCTCTATACAAGTCAGATCCTTATTGTCAGACAACAAAAGTTAAATAAACGAATTAACACGTTTTGACATACATGACATACAACGGCCAATATGGAACACTCGTAACTGATACGTGTCAGCCATAAACTGAGGTGCATATAATATTTATGACAATTCTCATCAGGCTTATTCGTTTGATAGCTGAAGAGAGGGGGAGAAGGGATAGAATGTAGTACACTTAATTAGTCAAGGGAAACTCTACACATGGTACAATTGTATTATGTCAATCGATTCAGTGTATTTTCATATTTTTATGGTACCTCCATTTGTGTAATATATTATCTATATATATATATATATATATATATATATGTCGCAATAGAGATGGAGATCCAGTAGAATCGTTGACTTTCCTGGTAGAGATCACGATCGTATCCTCTCCTAGGAGTGACTACGGTTGTGATTTAAATAAGAAGAATCAACGACTCTGCTAGAAGAAATCAGGAGTGTTATCTCTTATAGGAGGGATAACGGCTTAAATATAAAGATGGTATGACAATGTATTTGAAACTACTTTTATTATGTCTGATTTCTTCTCAGATAAGTATCAAATTATTATTATTATGTAGATTGGTGATATAAATTCAATGTAGTAAAACATTGCGTCGCATTTGCTTCCTTGAACACAAAAAAAAGAAATTATTCCACCAAAAATATAATAGAAATCGCAAATAAATAAATAGCTTGTACGTAAAATATATCTCCATATTGAAGAGATAAGGATCGTAATCTCTACTAGGAGAGTCAACGACTCTACTGGATCTCCATCTCTGCTGCGACATATATATGTGTATATGTCACACATCTATGATACAAATTAAATATAACTTATTTTTAGTTCATTTATTTCAGACAAGCAATTGCGTAAAAATATACATACATAAATAGCCGATTTCCTTATGCATATTCATCATTTCATAACCCTAAACAAGCATGAATGAAGACGATTAAAAGTTGTTTTTTGTCAATTAAGTTGACATTAATTAGCGAATAAATTTAAAGTGATGAACAAAAAACAACATTTATTAAATATATATTTGCATCGATGTATGTCTTTTACTGAGAATTCCAGTGTGAAATCTGTTTGTGTAAGTGTTGACAAGGGGATATAAGATAGGTACTATATACACAGTGTGTTATTCTTTTTTTGTATTCTCTTGATGAGACGGGGGTATATATATTTTTTGTAAATAAACAAATATTTTGATCCCTGATGACAGTTAGCTCGTGTGTCCTACATATCTTAAGAAGTGTGAAGAGCTTTAAGGGAGTGCGGCTCGATTCATGATTCAATGCTTTAAGGATAAATGAACAAATCCTTACGCATTAAGAAACCTCATTTTCAACGCATCTATTTTTATAAAAATGAACCTAAATATTGGATAAATAAGTAATAAAAATATATAAACTAGAAAGTATGTTGAAAGTATTTATTAGTATTTATTCATGAATGGATTAATGTCAGCTTAAAATAGATTTCTCGATCATTCTAGCTTAAACAATACAAAAACATATTAATTGTTACAGAAAGAATGACCATTCAGATTTTATGTTTAATCAATATAAATGTCGGATTCTAAAAGTCAAAAATATGGTTCTTTGAGGGTTCAAAATCACCGCCAATGAACGCTTTAATTATAGCGC